TTTCCCTGAAAGTCCAGTCCTGTGAGTCTGGGTCTTCTCCAGGCAGGTGGACCCAGGCCGATCCAGCTCTCCCCAGCCCGTCTACCATTCCTACTCCTTTGTCTCTGAAGTCTGAGCCTTCCCACGCCTACAGGGCTGAGCTTCTCACCCAAAAGCCTGTGGGGGGGCTTTTGGCTTTCTTTCCGAAGAGGGAGTGATTGTTCAGCACTGAGCCAGTCCCCTTAATAGGGGGCTTGTATGGAGGTTGCACATTCAAAATCACTGGAAAACCCTCAACAGATCATTGTCCCGAGCTACAGAGAGGCCACTGTAGTAAGATGGTATCAGTCTTTCCATTAATCCACCCCTTGTATTCCCGGGCTTTGTAACAACTTGGCACATACAACTTGCTCTGAGATGCAATTTACCCTATTTATGGTCTCCATGTGGCGCTTTCCTTTTTAGAGAAGAATAAGTGACAAGATCCATCTTTCTTGACTGAATGAGAGTTTCATGTCTCCAAAGAAAGAAAATCTTTGCTTAGTTTCTCTGCTTTCCAGTTGCCAGGAGACCTTTTTGTTGATTGTCAGCAGGCATCTTTCTAGTTTAATAATAAAATGATAGGTATGTTTCTCTACTGGATAACACTGCCTACATGTTATTTTATTATATGTGACTATCCAGTTTCAGAACAGATTACTGTAGTTATATTAGTAGAACATTAATAGAAGTAAACTGCTTTTTAGTGGAGGGAAGATTGTGGAGTCAGGTCATTCTGCTGACTCCAGCTTCACCTGTTCCCGCTACATGAGAAACTGGAGGTTACTATTTAAAGGGAAAGGCAAATTAACAGGATTTTTTTTGTGTGTGGGGGTGGTTAAAGGTGACCTTCATACCAGAGTACCCTGTAGAAATACTGAGGACCAACTCCTCTTGATTAGACCACATGGTTAAGTTCAGTTACTCAGCAGAAGTTTGTTCTTCAGGGTGTACTGCTTTTAGAACAAGGAAACTGAACGTGAAGACCGAAGTACCTTAGCCAGGCAGCTCACCTAGCCACGGTCACCCTTTGCAAGTCCTGTTACCCTGATGGTGTGTGGTGCGTTTCTGAAGGAACTGGTGTGATGTGAACAACCAAAATTCTGACCACAGTGGTTTCACTCAGCTACTAAGCTTGTGTGTTGCTTTATTTGGGGGTGACTGTGAGACACAGTAGAAGAAAATGCTTCGTGAGCTGTCCACTCTTGACTGGATGGTACATTTATGATCTGGTGTTAAAGAACATTTGGGCTCTGGAATCATACACTGAAGGCTATATGAAAATATTTATTTCTTAGAGTTGATGTGGGGATTATGTGAAAGAGTGCACGTTAAGTCCTCAACACGGCATATAGTTAGTGTTCAATAAAGAGTAGTTGCAATTAGTAATTTGTAGTTCTCTTTTTAGAACAATTACTGACAATCATACATACGGATCATCCTGACCAGTTAATAGGGTCTTATCTCAAGAATCTATAAAGTAAATTTTTATTTGGTATTAGCCTAAGAAACATTTACCTTTCTGTGGTCAAAATGATTATGTATCTCAGTAGGACTAGAATGAGACAGTAAATGGAACAGCGCTTGCACAGCGTAGAATCTCTTAACCCTGAACCAAAGGCTTTTTTTTTTTTTTTTTTTTTTTTTTTTGGCCGAAGGAAGTGTTTTAAATTGTAGAGTAAGGCTTCTTCAAGCCTGAGGGGCTATTTTGTGGCGGCTGGGAAGTGTGGCTAGGTTTTGAAGGCATTCACTGTTCGGTTTAAATACAGCTGTGCATTATGCTTCACTTACATTGTTTTAATTGTGGCATCTGAGCTTTAGTACAGCTCGAGACTAAATTCAAATCATGCTGGAGCTGCAGACATTCTCATTTTCCCTGCCGGTGGGTTTCTCTTTTCCTGTTCTCCTGTCTGTATGCAGTTCTCTAAATGTAGTACATCCCTAGTGGTTGTAGGTTCTTCCCTTTTGCTCTGGGCTGATGTTTGTTATGTGCACGTTTTTATTTTTATTTAAAGTTATTTTTACATGGCAGTGGAATGTGCCTTTCTCTGTCTGTCCACATTAACCCCATTGGACTTGCAGGGCACTCCCTTAAAAGGAACTGTCGCTTAGGGGATTAGGCAGCTAAACCGGACCTCCTGGGTCATTTCTCCCCGTGTGCTTTCTGAGGAAATGCTGATTGGTTGGTGTTAACTAATGATTCACTAAGGATTCAAATTCAGGATCTTTGTTCCTGGGGCAAGTGAAACTGCCCACAGGCAAAAACTCTGAGGGTCTGAAAAATAGATTGTTTTGTGGAAAGTAAAGAGTCTGGTCTGGAAGAAGCCGTTGCCCTAAGGCGTGTTCTGGTGTGATTTGTGTGGGGCTGCATGAATCACAATGGCTCATTGAAATGTACTGACTGCTTCCTCAAACAAGCACTGAACACTGGTGGGACTGGTTTTCAGAAGCTAAGATTTAAAACCCTTTTGAGTGTCTGCTACTGGAGTTTGTTTCTGTTCCTGTTGTACAATCATTATTGTGTATATAAAGGCTTCAACTTTTGTGTTTGAAACTTCTCTTCCATGGACCTATGACTTTAACGCTTGTGTAAAAAATTACTATGCCCCAGAATATTTTCTGAAATCCAGTATTATCTGACTTTTTAAAGAACCTGAGAGTTTTGTGACTTATTTTAAACTCTGCTTCCACTGTAAAGTGAGGATGGGAACCATGCCTGCCTTCTAAGGTTCTTGTGAGGCAAAGTGGAATAGCACGTGAAGTCAGTAGAGGCTAGCTCCCTTTCTTTAAAGAGATTTTCAGAATTGTTAGACAGTCTTAGGTGAAATCCGATCCCTTATTTCATTTAGTTGTTGTCTCCTTTTGTATTGATCAGAAGTGCAGTGGGGGGGCTTCCCTGGTGGCGCAGTGGTCGAGAGTCCGCCTGCCGATGCAGGGGACTCGGGTTCGTGCCCCGGTCCGGGGAGATCCCCA